AGGGAGAAGCAGACCCCCTGCTGAGCAGGGAGCCCGATGTGGGACTCGATCCCGGGACTCCAGGATCATGACCTGAGCCGAAGGCAGTAGCTTAACCAACTGAGCCACCCAGGCGCCCCAAGAGTGCCCCTTCTTACCACTCCTATTCAACATAGTACCAGAAGTCTAAGCCAGAGCAATCAGGCAAGAAAAAAAGGGCATCCAAATAGGAAAGGAAGAAGCATAATTGTCTTTGTTTGCAGATAATATGACCTTATATATAGAAAATCCTAAAGACTCCACCAAAAAACTGTCAGAACTAATCAATGAATTCAGTAAAGTTGCAGTATACAAACTCAACATACAGAAATCAGTTGCATTTCCATATACTTTATATCTGAAAAAGAAATAAAGAAAACAATACCACTAACAATAGCATAAAAAACAACAGAATACTTGGAAATAAATTTAAATAAGAAGGTGAAAGATCTATACAATGAAAACTACAAAACCATGATGAAAGCAATTGAAAAAGACAAAAACAAATGGAAATATAGCTCACATTCATGGGTCAGAAAAATTAGTATTGTTAAAATGTCTGTACTACCAAAAGTCATCTATAGATTCAATCCAGTTCCTATAAAAATTCCAATGGTATTTTTTCACAGACATAGAAAAAAAATCCTTAAATTTATACGGAACCACAAAAGACCCTGAATAGCCAAAGCAATACTGAGAAAGAACAAAGCTGGAGGCATTAGCCTTCTTGATTTCAAACGATACTACAGAGAGATTATTGAAAGATATGAATTCAGTGCCATTGTGTTACCTGCAGAATTGGTGTTTCTGGAGATGTTCTCTGGTCCTTTCTAGTCTTTGTTGCTTTTGGTCTTTTTTTTTTTTTTTTTTTTCCACCACCCAAAGAGTCTCCCTTAAAATTGCTTGCAGGGCTGGTTTAGTGGTCACAAACTCCTTTAGTTTTTGTTTGTCTGGGAAACTCTCTTTCTCTCTCTTTCTATTCTGAATGACAGTCCTGCTGGATAAAGAATTCTTGGCTGCATATTTTCCCCATTCAGCACGTTGAACATTTCCTTCCACTCCTTTCTAGCCTGCCAGGTTTCAGTGGACAGATTTGCTGCAAACCGGTTCTGCCTTCCTTTGTAGGTTAAAGACATTTTTCCCTTGCTGCTTTCAGGAGTCTTTCCTTATCTGTGTATTTTGAGAATTTGACTATGATATGCCTTGATGATGGCTGGCTTTTGTTGAATTTAATGGGAGTTCTCTGTGCTTCTTGGATTTTGATGTCTGTGTCCCTCCCCAGATTAGGGAACTTTTCAGCGATAATTTGTTCAAATAAACCTTCTGTCCCTTTTTCTCTCTCTTCATCTTCTGGGAATCTTATGATACGAATGTCATTACATTTAATAAGTCACTGAGTTCCTTAAGTCTACCTTTGTGGTCCATTACTTTTTTCCCCCTCCTCTTTTCAGCTTCATTTTCCCCTATAATTTTATCTTCTATATTACTGATTTGCCCCGCTGCTTTGTCCATCCTCATTTTTATGACCTCCACTTGGGATTGCATCTTGGTTATAGCATTTTTAATTTCAGTCTGACTAGATTTTAGTTCTTTTATCTCTGCAGTAAGGGTTTATCTAGTGTCTTCTATGCTTTTTTCAAGCCCAGCTAATATCCTTATAATTGTTGTTTTAAATTCTGGCTCAGACATCTTACTTATATCTATATTGATTAAATCCCTGGTTGTACTATCTCCTCTTCTTTTTTGTGGGGTGAATTTCTCCATCTCATCATTTTATCCAGAAAAGAAAAGAAGAAAGAAAAAGACAAAATAAAAAGTCCAACAATAACAACAACAACAGCAACAAAACTAGATCCTGCATGTGTTTCGGTCTGCTTGTTAAAGAATCTTCCAAAGGTGGTCGCTTTTCTGCTTGTAGACTTGTAGTTTTTGTTCTCTTAGACCTCCGATTGATTTCTTGGATGTTCAGAATGATCTGATAACTATCTAGCTGTATTTGAGGGATGAGACATGCTTAGGGCCTCCCTAATCCTCTACCATCTTAACTCCTCCCCCTCAAACTGTACTACAAAGCTAATCTAACAGTATGGCACAGCATAAAAATAGATACATGGACCAACAGAACAGAATCAAGAGCCCAGAAATAAAACCTCACATATACAGTCAACTATCAACAAGGCAGCCAAGAATACTCAATAGGGAAAGGACAATCTCTTCAATAAATGGTGTTGGGAAAACTGGATAACCATAGGCAAAATAATTAAATTGTACCACTATCTTATACCACTCAAAAACATGAACTTGAAATGAATTAAAGACTTAAATGTAGGACCCAAAACAATAAAACTTCCAGAAGAAAACATAGCTTTTTTTTTTTTTAAGATTTTATTTATTTATTTGACAGAGAGAGACACAGCAAGAGAGGGAACACAAGCAGAGGGAGCAGGAGAGGGAGAAGCAGGCTTCCAGTGGAGCAAGGAGCCCGATGTGGGCCTTGATCCCAGGACCCTGGGATCATGACCTGAGCCAAAGGCAGACGCTTAATGACTGAGCCACCCAGGTGCCCTGAAAACATAGCTTCTTGACATGAGTCTTGGCAATTATTTTTTTAGTTATGACACCAAAAGCACAAGCAACAAAAGAAAAAATTAAGTGGGACTACACCAAACTAAAAGGCTTCTGCAAAGCAGTAGAAACAATCAACAAAATGAGAGGGCAACTTACAGAATGGAAGAAAATATTTGCAAACCATGTATCTGATAAGGGACTAATATTCAAAATATATAAGGACCTCATACACTCAATAGCAAAACCCCCCAAAATCCAACTAAAACATGGGCAGAGGAACTGAATAGCCATCTTTTCAAAGAGCATACACAAGTGGCCAACAGGTACATGAAAAGGTGTTCAATATCACTCATCATCAGGGAAATGCAAATTAAAACCACAATGAGATATCACTTCACACTTGTTAGAATAGTTATCATCAAAAATATAAGAGATAACAAATGCTGGTGGGGACGTGGAGAAGAGAAAACCCTTGCTCACTGTTGGTGGGAATATAAGTTGGTACAGTCATTGTAGAAAACAGAATAGAGGTTCCTTAAGAAATTAAAAATAGAACTACCATATGATCCATTAATCCCACATCATAGCACCTAATTCAAAATCCCACTTTGAAATAGGATTCAGAAAGATATCTGCACTCCCATGTTCATTGGAACATTAATCACAATAGCCAAGATATATGTCTGTCAGTGGATGACTGGGTAAAGAAGATGTGGTATATTATATACAATAGAAAATTACTCAGCCCCAAGAAAGAAGGAAATCTTGCCATTTGTGACAACATGGATAAACTTTGAGGGCGTTATGCTAAGTGAAATAAATTGGACAGAGAAAGACTAATACTGTATGATATCACTTATATGTGGAATCTAAAAGTGCTGAACTCAGGGTGTGTGGGTAGCACTGTAGGTTGAGCATCCGATTCTTGATTTTGGCTCAGGTCATGATCTTAGGGTCATGGGAATGAGCTCAGTGTGGAGTCTGCTTAAGACTCTCTCTACTTCCCTTTCTGCACTTCCCTGCTCTCAAATAAATAAAACTTTAAAAAAAGAACAAAAACAAAAACGTTGAGCTCATAAAAACAGAGCAGAACTGTCATTATCAGGGGCTGAGGGAGGAGGTGGGGAAATAGAGAGCTGTTAGGTAAAGGGTATAAACTCCGATTTCTTTTTTTTTTTTTTTTTAAACTCCGATTTCTAATGTGAATAAATTCTGAGAATATAATACAGAATGGTGATTATGGTTAACAACACTGTATTATATACGTGAAAGTTCCTAAGAGTAGATCTTAAATGTTTTCACTATAAAAAAAAAAAAGATAATTATGTGATGTCACAGAGGTGTTAGCTATGGCGGTAATCATTTTGCAATATACAAGTTTATCAAATCAACAGTTGTATGCCTTAAACTTACACAATGTTATATGTCAATTATATCTCAGTAAAGATGAAAACAATAAGTACCCCTTAAAAAGTACAAGGGTGATTATGTGCTTACCAGCATCTGGCAGTCTTTCTATCAGATCCATGAATTCTTTTTCTTTGATGCTGATTCCCATGTTTTCTAAAAGAGTGTCCAGCTTGTTGACATCAACATTGCCTTCTAAGTAAGGAGCAGGAAAGGAATATAGTAAAATTGAATGTTTCTAAAACTGGACCATGAATTCACTCTGCTGTGTTATTCTTCCTCTTTATCAAGCATGTATTATATTACAATAAAAAAACACATATTTCTTAGTATTAAGATTTTCAAGATGAATACCAAAAACCCAGTTTTGTTCAGTTCATAAGAGAATAAAAATTCCTCTCAATTTTATGTTAGGATTTGGAAAGGTGAGAGCTAGAGATGACTGACATAATATTCTATAACACAGGAGTTGTTTTTATTGTCTGTACTTTCAAATTATTTGCCTCCGCTTTTGACTGAAACCTTTATCTGACAATGTTCATTCTTTACCTTTTGCTTTGTGTTTTTATTTTGTTTCTTTGGGGCTGAGTTAGGAAAATCCGAGAAAGTTTAACACTTTCTGCCAAATTTTAGTGCAGGAAACTACTTGGTTTACTTGGTAAAATGCAGATCTACTTAAGAAAGCATAAATAAATACAATTACATAAGAAAGGATGATTCATATTTTAACAACCCAAATAAAGGTTTCGGATTCAGTCTTTTCACTGTGCTTCTTACTCACGTTTGAGAGACTTTATGCCCTTCATCAACCTTTTTTGATACACTTTTCCATCAGCTATAAAAAATAGATATTTAAAATGGAGTCAGAAAGGTAGTACACATCTTTTAATTTCAGAAAGAAAGAATTTAGAAATCTTTGCATCAGGAACATTTCAAATGCAAATAGATAAATATATGAAATTGTTCTCTCTCAGTGGTAAAGGAGTGAATTGCAAATCATAATCATGAGATGCTCTTTTTTTTTCTGTATTGAGAATGTAGAGAAAATAACATCCTCAAATACTGTTTGTGGGAGTTCAAATTACAATATTCTGGAAGAAAATGTGAGAAAACAAACAAAATATCTTCCATTTTACAACTCTACTTAAAGGAATTTAATCTCAAAAAATTTTAGAATATTTGCAAAGATTTATCCATAAGGTTGCCAAATAAAAAAGGATATATATTCATACATGGAGAACTAGAAAAATATACATCAAAATTCTCATAGTAGTTATTGCTTTACATTGGGAATATAGTTTTATTTTCACTTATTTGCATTATCAAGGTTTCTATGATAAATATGCATGTTAACACTGTGAAGAGATAAGAATTATAAGTAAATTAATATACACATAAATATTATCTATCAATCTATCATCTGCTGAGCACTAGAAGGAAGTGTACCAAAATACTAATAATGGCTATCTTTGGGTTATGGGATTAAAAGGAATTTTTAATAATTTTTTTGGTTTTATTTAAAACCAGGGCATTATGCTAAGTGAAATAAGTTGGAGAGAGAAAGACTAATACTGTATGATATCACTTGCATATGGAATCTAAAAATGCTGAACTCAGGGTGTGTGGGTAGCACTGTTGGTTGAGCATCCTACTGAGCCACCCAGGCGCCCCGAAAACATAGCTTCTTGACATGAGTCTTGGCAATTATTTTTTTACATTGGGTTGTTTTATGTAAGATTGCAATTTTTTCATTTATTTTTGATGTTTGTCTTTTTTTTTTTATGTTCAGTTAGCCAGCATATAGTACATTAGTTATTGATGTAGTGTTCAATGATTCATTAGATGGGTATTTTTTGTTTAATCCTTTAGAATCTTAGATTTTTTTTATTATGTTATGTTAATCACCATACATTACATCATTAGTTTTTGATGTAGTGTTCCATGATTCATGATTCATTGTTTGCGTATAACACCCAGTGCTCCATTCAGTACGTGCCCTCTTTAATACCCATCACCAGGCTAACCCATCCCCCACCCCCTCCCCTCTAGAACCCTCAGTTTGTTTCTCAGAGTCCATCGTCTCTCATGGTTCGTCTCCCCCTCCGATGTCCCCCCC